TTTCTGAGCCTCTGTTACCTCCTGTAAAGGAGGTGGAAACAATGGTATCTAGTTTGAAGGTAGTGACATTGAAATAAGCCAGCACATGTAGGGTGCCCAGCTTGTTGCCAATGTTCTGTGGAAAGCAGCTGATGTAACCACTCACAATAATACTAAAATCCACTAGTTGATCTTGACGTGGTTGAGATTTTACAAGCCTTGATGGCTTTTAATTGAGAAATATGCATCTATGACAGGTAATCAATACGCTCATTTGGCAGCCAGGTTCCAGATGAAATAAAGCTGAACGATGATGCAATTAGAATATACAAACAAATCCCCTGCAGAAGCCAAATAGACTTGACTGCCTTTTCCATCCTAATCACGGGGCCCTGTTTGGAGTGCCTCTGCAAGGCATTTTTCTCCCTGAATCTGGACCCAGCTAAGTAAACAGGGTGCTCTTCCCTCACTGCTGTTTGTTTTTCCTGTTTTCTCCTTGCAGCTCAGCACGAGGCCTGACTCCCTGACTGTGAAGGACGCTGCACACCTCACTGACAGACACCATCTCTTGAAATTCACTTTGTCATTTCTTTGCTCATTGTCAGACCGAATGACAATAGCTGACGATTTTAATCGGGAAACAGCTCAGGAGGCAGATTCTCAACAGTCCCTGGCATGTCTTTTTCAAAACCCCTTCTCTTCTCCTATATGAATGTCTGCGAATTGCTAATGACCAGGCCATGCTTGTGGGTCACCGTCACATATATGAGCTTTCTCCACCATTCTCTTCTAGTATTCCCCACTGTGGCTTATTAAATTTAAAATGCATCATAACTGCCATATGCCAGTGAGCTTTAATAAACTGTAACATCAGTCAAAGTTTAGTTGCTCTTAGCTCAGACTCTAGATCTCCTGCTTATGAGCTCTGTGACTTGGGTAGGTAATGCTAGTCCATGTGTCTCAATTTTCTCATCAATTGCAAGATGGTGATTATTGTGCTTGATATTTGACTTGATAGGAGGAAGAAGACTAAAATATATGTAAATTTCTCACTTTATTGGCTCACATACAGCAAGCTCACAATATATATTTGTTTGTTTGGTACTGGGGATTGAATCCAAGTTTTCTTTACCACTGAGCTATATTTTTATTCCTAATTATTTTTTTTAAGACAGGGTCTCACTAAATTGCTTAGGGTCTCAAAAAGTTGCAGAGTCTAGCCTCAAACCTATGATCTTTCTGCCTCAGTCTCCTAAATTGCTGAGATAACAACTGTGCACCCTGTTCCTGGAGCTACATATTAGTTTCCATAATTATCATCAATTAATTATCAGTAGGAAAATATCATAAATGAGAATAATTTAGGTCAATCAATTTTTTGTACAGTATGTTCTAGAAATCTTGGGACCATATAAAGAATATGGGCTTTAATTAGGTATGGTGACACATACCTGTATTTCCAATAGCTCTGGTGACTTATGCAGGAGGATTGCAACTCCAAAGCCAGCCTTAGAAATTTAGTGAGGACCTCAGTCACGTAAGGAGACCCCGTTTGAAAATAAAAAATAATAAAACATGCTGGGAATGTAGCTTTGTGGTTAAGCAAAGGCCACTGGGTTCAATACCTGGTAGCAAACAAACAAAAAAGAATACTGACCACATAAGTTGGAATGAAGTTTTGGCTCTGCCACTTCTGCTTGACCTTGGGTAGATTATTCTTCCACTTTGAACTTCAGTTTCCTCATTTGTAAACTCTGTGAAAATGTATATAAATATGAATGTCTCCTCCCAATAAGTTTTAAAATTTAGCCTTAAGCCGAAGCAAAAGAAGTTGCTGTTAGAATCCACACTATAATGTGACCATGAAGATATCAACATTAATTTGATCTGAAACTGCTTCCAACGTAGCCAGTCATAAGACCAGTGAATGGGAAAAGAGCTCTCAGTGTATTTTCCCTAATGCATTCATTTTATAGAGGAAAAAAGGGGAGAAGAACACGTTTCTAATAAGTTGAAGGACTCATTTGACATGACACAGCTAGAACAAGGCCAAGCCCAAGGGGAGAACCCCAGTATCCTGTAGCAATTAATATTCTGTTCTAATCTGTCAAAGCCAAACAGAAGAACAAAAATAAAGGAGTGAGATTGGATTAAAAAGAAAGTTTGAAGGAAAGGAAGAAAAGGACAGAAGGGGAAAG